TTAAAAAAACAGTTTAAATAACACTATATGTATATTAGTTGGTGTTCTCATAGCTTAAAAAAAATTATTCATGATCTAGTATGAAAAACTTTGTTTCACAAATGTATACTACAAAATTTAAAAAAAAACAGTTGAAAAAATACTATGTTAGTAGTATTTCTATACCTTCAATATGTCAGTACATTGCAATATCAGTGTAATATAATGTATTTTATTACTTTTTTTACTCAGACAGAATATTTTTTTTAATCAGACAGAATATACTTAAGAGTGATATATAATTAAAAGTAAAATTGAATTATCGAAATTCTGCAGAATAACTGAAAATAAATTTTGAAATTAATATTATACCAGTACTGCACATATATGATGATTTAAATTTTTTTGTAGTTATTATATAAATAAAATAATTAACGTTCTTATAAAAATAAATTGTTCACGTGCATGTTAATTTAATTATACATATTTAATTAAAAATTCTCATACGTTGTGAACGAACTCTCTCTCTTAAAAATAAATTAAATGTAATTTTTTTTCTATTCCTTTTTCCATCAATTTTTGTGAAGGAAAATAGGATGATTGGCGCAAAAAAAGTAACTTGATGTCAAATAAATTTGATATCTGATACCACTGTCTGCCATCGATTTTCTTTCGTATTTTTATACTCACACACACACACCTTTTAGCTTTCGCGCGATCCATCGAGTAAAGTATCACGTGATCTGTTTAATGCCTTCAGGCTCAATACCCACAAAAATGAGCATCATTTTTCTCTAAAGTCACTGTTATACATAGGAGCCACTTTGTGTCTCGATAAAACGATAGCATTAGATATTTACCGAAAAAAATTTATATTTGAAAAAAAAACGTGGAACTTATTATGTTTCGTGTGTATATTGTGAGTAGCAGTGAAGGTCAGTGTTTAGTCAGACGACGTTGTATGTATTACAGTGATGTGAATCAGATTATGGTCAGACGTAAGTAGTAAGCAATACTTTAAGTCTGACATTCTTATTTCTTTGGATTCATTTTAAAAAAAAATTGGAATTTTTACCCCAAAATCGGTATAAAAATTAACTGCAACAAATTTTATCCTAGTTGAGGGCGCCACTGTCTATGTGAATTAGCATTGGTTAAAATTTATCCAGCGTTTGTTTTGTGAAACAACTTTAGTTGAAAACTATTAATATTTTTCAAATGAATAATTGGTGATACTCAAAATTTTAAACAATTATATTTATAATTATTACTCGTTAGTGTCAGTAATAAATTTGTTTTCAATTTTACATACTTTCAATATTGTACATTAAATACTTTTGATTTGAGAGGTTATATGTAAATTTTGTGAAAATTTTAACGACAAACAATTTCATTGTTTCATAAAACAATAAATTTTGTGTTATATTAGACAATAAATAACAGACACACAAAACCCATGTAGCAAGTTTCATTTAATAGTAATCGAATAATTCAAAGTACACGCGATGCGGTTAAAAAGGATAGAATCCATAAACACGAGTTCGATAAAGAATTAGCGCTTCTACAAAATGTTGAATACAAGAAATAATTCTGTATTTTTTAATATAATTTTTATTAAATACTACAATATTTTTTATAAACATAAAAAGTGGAAAATGGAAAAAAAGTGATTTTGATTGGTTTGCGAATGAAGAGAAACTTTGTATTCATAAATGAAGGGAAATTGTAGTTGCAATACAGAAGGGAATATTCCTTCTATTCCCTTGAGTGACCTTTAGGTTGGTGCATTAGCTCTTGAAACATTGATCACGTCGTTCAATATACGACGTCTACGTAAACCTATGTGCACGCTGTCAGTTGCAGGGAAACGATGCCAGTTTACAAAGCTTCTCTTCCTCTCTCTCTCTCTCTCTCTCTCTCTCTCTCTCTCTCTCTCTCTCTCTCTCTCTCAAACCACTTTGCCTTTTCTGTGGAAAAATACCTTCTTTGAATTTTACGAGAGCCTCTTGAAAAATGAATAACCTCTTTTTTATATTCACTTTATCTAACTCACTCAAAAACATAATCGATAAAGTGGACTAAATTAAGGCTCCAAAATATTCACTCTATCCATAATTCGATTTATTTAAATTAATAATTTTTTTCCCCTACAAAATGTCGTTTATCATGGAGTATAACATTGTTCCATAGTACCATTTTCAGGCTCAGATGCTTGGTTTTCTTTTTATTAACGCTCGATGAAATTCAATTGTGTGAAAGGATCGAATCGACTTTACAGAATTCCAAGTTTCATGATCAATTTTAGTGTTCCATTTTGTAGAAAGCGGTGTAAACGCAATGCGAATGTGCAATATATAAATCCTATTGCTGTTTATGGCGGAACGAAGAAGCTCTTGAAGTAAACGAAACGAAAAGCTTCAGATAAGAGGCGCAGAAAAGTTGTATAGAAGTTCAAAAAAAAAAAAGAAAAAGACATCACCTGAATAGAAAATTAAATATAAAAAGAAAATTAACGTAATTAAAAATATAGGTCAATAAATGATTATAAAGTGCAATGAAAATTTTTCCCTAAAGAAAATAAATAGAAAAAAAGGGTTTTCTTAATTTAAAACGAGAAAATTGGAAATTTAATCGCGCGCAAGTTGAAATAATCAATGAGAATGGACCTAAATAAAAGCAATTAAGGATAATTGATGGACGTGAAAATGTAATTACATTTATATATATAAATGAGTTTAATTTCAAATATATATATACGTAAACGTTTTTGAAATTTCGAAGGTATAAAATCTATTGCAGATTTACAGTTAATTTAATGACAGAATTAGTTGCAGGAAACATTGTGCACAACCGAAAGGTAGATACTTTGAGGAATCCCCGATTTTATAGGCAGCTTCCCAGCAAATCCCTTTCAGCGCGCTTTCAGCTACTCTACGCTTCGAAAGTTTCCTCAGCTATCGGATTAGAGGGGATGAGCGTTTTGCTCGTCACCGTTTCATTGTTGTCCCACGTTTACACGGTTAAAGCGATAGACCAAACGTAAAGCATAAAAATAAATTATTTCTCCATGTACAAATGTAGTAGAAGCGGCGCCATCATATTGTCACTAATGTCCAAGTTGTTTTTGAATTATAAATCCAACGTCATTAATAGTTTACAAAACGATTCACGTTATTTCAAAAAATTAGCACAAGTAGAAAAAAAATTATTCTCATGTCTGATTTTTCTCATTCATAAAAAAAAGTTTAGAATAAAATTTCCGAATTATTGTTATTCTTTTTTTTTTTTTTTTAACTACTGCAGTGATTTTAATTGCTAACGATTGCAAATACCATTTGATTTGAAATACTAGATTGTAATTTTGAAATTACAATCGATTGAAATTGCCATCATTATAGTAACTATCATGGAATGTAACTGCTATTGTTGGCAACTTTCAGTGACGGTAACTATCGACGATTGCAATTAACATCAATTGCAATGTTATAATTAAGGAAAATTTTTGTTACTTGAAACAGAAATTATTTTGCATCGGGGGAGTTTTCATATTTTCAAATATTATTCATTATCTAGTATTAAAATACTTTGTTTCACAAATGCACACTACGAAATTTTATTTAAAAAAAATAACAGTTAAAATAACACTATATCTATTAGTGGTGTTTTCGTAGCTTCAAAAAAAAAAATATTATTCATGATCTAGTATGAAAAAACTTTGTTTCACAAATGCACACTAGGAAATTTAATTAAAAAAAGAAATAATAAAAATAAACTATTAAATAACCACTACATTTATTAGTAGTATTTTTATATTTTCAAAAAATATTATTCATGATCTAGTATGAAAAACTTTGTTCTACAAATGCACACTACGAAATTTATTTTAAAAAAAAATAATAAAAATAAACTATTAAATAACCTCTACATTTATTAGTAGTATTTTTATATTTTCAAAAAATATTATTCATGATCTAGTATGAAAAACTTTGTTCCACAAATGCACACTACGAAATTTAATTAAAAAACAAATAAATAATAAAAAAAAAATTATATAATACTGCATTTATTAGTGTTTTCATATTTTCAGAAAAATATTATTCATGATCTAGTATGAAAAACTTTGTTTCACAAGTCTGCCGTCCCAACAAGAGTAGCAGTAACTACATTTTGGATAAGTCACTTATTGGTGGCAGTGGCAGTGGCAAGTAGGTGACTCATCCTAAATGCAGATACGGTTATTCTTGTTGGGGCGGCAGAAGTGCATATTGCGAAATCTAATTTTAAAAAACAGTTGAAATAACACTATATTTATTAGTAGTGTTTTTATAGCTACCAAAAAATATTATTCATGATCTAGTATGAAAAACTTTGTTCCACAAATGAACACTGCGAAATCTAATTTAAAAAAAAACAGTTTAAGTAACTCTAAGTATATAAATGATGTTTTCATATCTTCAAAAAAATATTATTCATGATCTAGTATGAAACACTTTGTTTCACAAAATATACACTACTCGATTATAAATTTTTCTTTCACCTTCTAAAGAAATAATTTCTTGGAAACTTTTGTTGATTCAAACATGGATTTAATGGTAAAATCAGTTCCATTATAGTAAACAGATTCCCGTGCAAAAATAAACGTAAACTCAAGAAACAACACAGAAAGATGAAATAATAGTGAATTTTTCCATTTTTCAGTGCCGATGCCAATTCACGAATGAAGTCTCGCGGCAAAGTCAAAAATAAAAAGTAAGAAGGACAGACAATGTTTGAGGTTTTGTTGAAGAAATGGTGAAAACAAAAAAAAAAAGAAAAAATGGAGGGAACAACAAAGAAAACGCGATCATGAGGATTGTCGTGAGAGGAAGTGAGATAGCGACGAGCTTGTCGTTGGAGGAAGCAGAGGTTCCTCCTTTTCAACCCCCCCTCAATGTAGTGTGGTGGCGTACCGTCTATATTTTATATCCGGTATACGCGGCAAGTGTCGCTCGGGCGCAGACTCAGGCCAACTGGGGTCGGCCGCCTCGTCAGTTACTTTTCGCGATTCACCGAGCGCGTTCCACGGGGTATATCCGAGTGCTGCCGTCAATCTCCAAACGTTTTTGACAACACAACGTCAACACTGAAAAAAAAAAATAATAATAAAACCAACACCATCATTCTCCATCTCCTCTCCATACCTTTTGATAATCGCCGTCATTAATCACTTATTATCCACTCATGACACAACTCCCATCATATCGTGTCAAATTTCCCGTACATTCTTTTTTTGGCGGGAACGAGTAAAAAACTGGAAAAAAAACATAAAAGCCAATTCAAGTTTTATCAAGTGAAATAGACGAGATAAAAACAAATCAATGTTAATAAAAAAAAATTATATTAATTAAATTTAAAAAAAAAAACAAAAAAAAAATTCCCGAGTGTTAAAAGGGTAAACAAATCACGTTACGAAATCAAAAGTAAGCAATTGGAAACGGAAACGAAAATTGAAACAAAACGTAAACATTGTTTCAACAAAAATAGGGGTGAAATTGAAGCAGACTAAAGGCTGAAAATAAAACAAAAAAAAGTAAATATAACAAAAAAGTCGAATAAACAATAAATTGAAAAAATTTCACTTCTAACGAAGAAATTAAATTTTTTTTTCCCCACAAAATTTAAAAAATCTATACTCGAAAGTTAGATGAAAACAAACCGCGGCAAAAGAAAGGTAAATAGAGAGAAAATTCCTTCTAAATGTAAACAAATCGAAGTAAAGTGAAAGAAAAAACAAACACAAGACTATACCTAACAGAAAGTAAACAAGGAAGCAAATTAAAAAAAAAACGGGAAAAACATAACAAAAGAAAGAACAGAAAAAATTCGAGGGAAAGTGAAAAAAAAGGTTAAATGTACAAAGTGAAAAATCAAAGAAAAGTGAAAATTCAAAACAAAGTGAAATTGGAAAAGTGAAAAAAGGAAATAAAAGTGAAATAACCGAAAGTGAGAAAAGAGGCAAACATAACCTAAAAAAAACTGTATGTAAAAATTAACTCTCAAGGGTGATAAAAAAAATGAAAGCAATTTAAAAATTGTAAAAAAAAATCGAAATTCGTATGCATATCGGGCATTGTGAGAGTGGAGGGAAGGCAATAAGAGTCAATTGGAAGAGAAGGAGTACGATTTGCTGTTATCTGGGAATTCGAGGACTTTCGGCGCATCGTGCAAAGGGAAATTCCTCGCTAGAGAACGAAGCCGCGCGATAACGAGAATCCGGAAGAGGGACGAGAAAGAGAGTTACTGGTCTCGTGAGAGAGAGAGAAAAGGAAAGAGATAAAGAGAGGGAGGGAGAAATAGAGTTAGTGGAAGAGAGAAAGAGAGAGAAACAAGGAAAGTAGTGGATTGTCCACGCGTTCCAGCGCTGTGTGTATACGTGTAACGAGTTTTCGGGACGTTTCCAATCGAGCACGAACGAGGGGAATGGCAATATAGTAGTGTGACGGTTGACTCGTGACTCGGAATTTATGGGATTTTGTTCGCTCGATTTTCCAAAAGGAGACCTGCTGCTTTTGCAATCATATTCGACAATTGCATTCCAAATTTATATACCAAAAACGTCAGAGTGAAACGATCTGCGTTAATTAATATACCCTTTTGTAAAACCCACACGTTTCAAAGTGACTTCCACAAAGTGCACCGACGATAAGACAATTCAGTCCTATCCACGTGACGTTATTGTCAGCATCAATGAGAAGGGGAATCAAGGCATTGAATTAAGGTGGATTTTCAATTTTCTATTTATGTACACTTTAAAAATTTTATTTCTTTTTTATTTTACTTCTCTTTAAAGTTTTGTTATCAAAATTTATTGGGAAAAATAAGAAGGGGTTATTTAACTTTTACCTTCTTTTTTATTTTATTTATTATTCATGATCTAGTATGAAAAACTTTGTTTCACAAATAACTACGTAACATAACCTAATTAAAAAATAGTTGAAATAACACTATAGTTATTAGTGGTGTTATCATATCTTCAAAAAAATATTATTCATGATCTAGTATGAAAAACTTTGTTTCTCTTTTTATTTTTTCAAAATACTGATTGTTTTTTTTAGAGATGACCAGAAATGTTTTCTATTGTAAAACCACCTTTAGGAATGGTGTTTATTTTGAAAAGTCGTTACACTTCTATAATAATTTTATTAGTTCATGGCGCAACGCATGAGATAGAAAAGGACATAAAACTCTTTCCTTTTCTAACTCATTACGTTAGCGTAATTTATTTCACGTGGAAAGGTATTTTTATTTATTTCTTCTGCACTACATGCAATAGAATTAAAAACCAAATTTGGATTGTCCGAGAAAAACAAATTTCATCTGGAAAAATTTGTGAGTAAAAAACCCACACACAATGCCCAGAGAAGTTTATTTTGATAAAGCAGCTCGTTTATCTTTTTTTTTTGCAACTTAATATTTGACCTTTTGTTCGTTCGAGTTTTTTTTATTATTCATCTTGTTCTCTCTGCCTCAAAAGAGACGAAAAAAATCCTCCATAAAAGAAAAGATATAAATAAAAATGTCTATTCAATGAATATATTTGTAATATTCGATAAAAAAGAAAATATATCTCTATAAAACAGTAAAAATATATTTGTATTGTACACGCAGAGAAAAAAATAATATTTGTCTCAGAGCTAAATAAATATTTATTAGATTCATGTTTGTTTCATATTTGTCTAAAACAATTTCTATTTGCGTCGAAATAAAATTTTTATTTGTCCCGAGAAAATTTTTTTTTTTATTTCAACCAATAAATTGTTATTTAGTTCTGAGGCAGAAAGTAAAAAACTAAAGAGAGTGTAATTAAATTTAAAAAAAAATCAACTGTAATGGGAATCGAACACTCGATTCAAAATTAGCAAATAGAGTGCACATGCCGCACGGCCATGTGGCACAATTTAAACTAGCAGTTAATTTTTCTAATAACTGATTTAATTTCTTAATTGAAAACGGGAATTTTTTTTCATTTGACATTAGTTTTTTAATTAATGGGAAAAAATAAGAGATTGGATAGGAGGCGATGTTTGGTAAAAGGCAATTTTTCAGATGAAATGAAGGTGTGTTATCCCCCGTTAATTCGATTACAAGTCTAGCCATCGACAACGTTATGCGATACACGGGTGCTTCGAGAGTGGGTCTCGAAGGAACAGCTTCCGTTATTACTGCACAGCCGTCCTCTGATTACATCCGGTAGACGAAGGTTAATGAAGGCTAATGCCTTGACGTTTGCGGTATGTACAACCCGAACTTAGCAAAGTGCTTTTCAAACTTAGTTTTCCTGAAAATCAATGCTTTCTTTTTTAAAAACAGTTGTGCAGTCACTAATTAACTCCCATCCCCGTAATTTTTATGTTGAAATTAAATATTAATTAGATATTTCTTAAAAAATTGTTTTCCAATTTTTTATTAAATGGAATTGAAAAATTTTTTAACTATTAATAGGGCGGCGCCCAGTAATGAGGGAAGATTAAAGAAAAATATTTTTTTTTCTAATGACTGTAGATGTGATATTAAAAAAAGGTTTGTTTTATATTAATGATGAATAATATTTTTATTGATTTAGATGTTTATAATAAAACTAAAAGGCCTTAAAAAGCGTGAATTAAATCAAATTTCGCGAATTAAGGAAATTATTATTCAATATTATATTGATTGAACGATAATTACTTCCATGACTTAAATAATAAAACGAATTTTAAATTACAGTCAATTTGCTCTTCATATTTGGAATAATTTTAAAATTTATAAATCATCAATTATTTCTAGTCGATTTAAATAGAGAAATTTAATTTTAAATATATACTAAAAAAATAACAAAAAAATATTTGTCTCCATAAATGTCTAATATATAAGTTCATTTAAATTCATGAACGTTTCCTGAAGCCAAACACCTGTTGAAGTTCAACGAATATAATATTTATTCGTATTTAATTTCATATTTTGTTGCGATGTTTAATGAAATTGTGATCTTACTTCCGTCAAATTATACACTTTTAATTTTTTTATCATTCTTTTTAAGTTTTATAAATATTCTTTCATATAAAATTTTTCAAACATTATTTGATTAATTTCATTTAAAATTTTTTTTGTGAAATTTGAAAAAATGCTGAAATTAACTTAACAAGTTCATAGAGAGAAAATTGGTGAAACTGATTAGCTATGCATTTTTCCAAGGGGAAGGGAAAGAAATTTATTCACGTCTCCTCGTTCTGGTATAAAATAGTAATGGAAGGGGATATTTCCTTTTCTATGGTTTGCAAGTCTTCATTGAAGTTGGCATGTACTCACGTCCCTCGATGGTATATAATTTTATCCGCCTTGAGATCCGAGCAACTTGTTAGCGAACTCGCGCAAGACGAAAGAAAAGGGCAGAACCATAAAGATGCGCAATTTCTTTTCGACCCTAGTATTTTCCTCGTTTTTCGTCTCCTCAAACCTTCCTCTCCGTTCTTTTTCTCTCTCCCACTTCTCAACCAACAACGTTCTTCGTCAGTTTCATTGAATTGGATCTTCATCCATCTTCGTATATCTGGTTGTGCAAAGTTGCCCTCTTAACTTTTGCCTCGCTCTGTGAGAAAGATGACGATGACTTCTCATGTTTCTTTTAGAGATAGAGAATGAAACCTGACCATCAAGATATTCTCTTGCCTTTCAATTTTACACGAGTGTATTCCTATTACTTTTTGTTGTTTGAAATGTCATTTGAATCGCGCGTTTTCATAAAACTTTGATACCACACACTTTGAAGGTTTCTTATAACATCAATCATTTGGAGATTAGTTTCCTTTGTCTGGACTTTTTTCATTACAGAGGCAAGTATTTTTAAAAATTAGATTATTGTTACTTTTTTATAAATTTTTATAAATATATATACCTACTGCGCAGTTAATACCTCCACTTTTTTCAAAACTGATTGATCACCTTCACTTTTCATTCATCAGAAAAATTGAGGAGATAAAAATTTTCTTGTCAATTTATTACATGATGAAAATCTCATCCACAATTGAATAAAACAACAATGAAAGGAAATGTAAAGTTTTTCCAAGTGAAGCCATAAACTTTTGAGCAAATGTCATTATTCTTGCGCTAACACCATTGTATCATTTATAATAGGCGCTCTCTCTCTCACTTTGAAAGACGTTTAAAGGACGTCCCTTGAGGCATCAAAGAAGCATCTCAACTACGTCTCGAGGGAATTTTCATGATGTTAATTAACATCCAACTTGACTTCATAAAGAATAGTTTGAACAAATGTCAAGTACCATAACTTTCTTTTATGTATAGTGCAAACGTGTTTTGATCAATTAAATTACTTGAAAAAAAAAGAAAATGTTTAGAAAAAAAATGTAAGAAACATTCTTAATCATAGAAAACGTTATCACGTCCATAAAAATCGATGCTTTTCCCTCTACCCAAGTAAATAAAAAGCAGTATCGTTTCCTTTATTGTTACGGATCCTTATAGTGTGCCTGCCTTTCGTTGTGGCGATTAATTTTGTTTGGTGAAGAAGGAAGAATCATCTCCACAGCTATAGATCCAAGTAATAAAACTGTTGCTTCAATATAGTAGTAGTGAATGTTTGGAATCTTCAAAGTTTGGTCGCGTAAAAATCATTGGTTTTATGCTTTCTCTTTTTTTTTCTTTCCTCTTCTTTTTCTTTCGATTACATCCGGACCCTTTCATATCCGATAATAAAAATTTCAGCACACAAACCGGAGAAAATGATTCCCTAGATGGAAGTGAAATCATTTGACGGACGCTCGAGATGGATTTCTTATTCTATCTCATGAGTTGAGCCCCTAATAGAAATTCACGGCGTGTTCCAGACAGATTTTCGACTCATTATATGGCTCAATAGGTCGATTCGCGATAACCTCATTCGTGTAATGCGATTTAATATATGGAACAAAATTTCTCTATTATGCACAATGAAAATACCAATTACGTTGATTTCTATTTTGAAATTCCATATAAGCTTACATTATGAGCGACGGGAGAAAATTGAATTTACTTTGAAAAATAAAATTAAAAATAGTAAATATTTGTCACAAATCAATAATATTAATAGAAGTTAATTTTTTAGGATAATTCTTTAAAAAATCATCAGATGTTGGGAGTGTAAAAAGTTTTGTTTGATATTATCTTTAAAATTACATGGCAATAATGTTGAACTTAGTTCAATATTATTATAAAAAAAGGTTTGTTTTATATTAATGATGAATAATTTTTATGTTAATGAAAATTTTTTAAATTTGATCAATGAGAATAATGTTGAACTTAGTTCAATATTATTATAAAAAAGGTTTGTTTTATATTAATGATGAATAATTTTTATGTTAATGAAAATCTTCAAAATTAAAATCACATCAATAATAACGATGTTAAACTTAGTTTTATGATAATGGAGATCTTTAACTATGTTCAACATCAAAGAAAATAATGTTTACGGTATAGTTTAAAAATATGTAACATTGATTTTATTTAATAAATTTAAAAACCAGTTTCAATAAAAATAAATTCAAATTTTAAAAAGATTTTTTTTAAAAAAACCGTCACAATGGAAGTAATTAACAAATTTGTAAATTGAATTTAATATATGTGTGTTTTCAGTATGATAACAGTTGGTATGATTTGAACATTAAAAGCCCTCGGGGCTAAAAATTGCCAATAAAGAACAATGATTGTTAATTTTTTTTTTAAATATAGATATTGTTTCAA